ACCATTCGGCACAATTTCAGCATTTTCCAAATACATGAAAGGGGCCACGGTGACAGCTGTAACCCCCCCGTCCCTGCCCCGGGAGACTGCTGTGAGCAGCACGAGATGGGAGAGCAGGGAATTGCGCTCTCCCTTCCAGAAATCCGCTGAAACATTCATGTGTGTTAAAGCAGGAGACGGTGAGAATGACTAATCTACTTGCATCCATCTTTCATCAGGGTTTCTCCCAGCACTTAACCGGGCCGAGGGCTCCCCAAAGGTACCGAAGCCCCCCCTCCCTGGATGGCGTGGGGCGAGCTCGGCAGCGGAACGGCTGGCAGGCGAGGAGGCTCCAGTACAAAGGCACAGCGAAGAACACATTGGCTGAGCCGGATCCACTCAAGAGATTAGCACCTGCTGGGAATGGGATTGTTTTCCAAAGGGCATTAAGTGGAATAGTCCCAGGGAAAGACGGTCTCTCTGATGCTTCTCCCCACCGGACAGATGGTGTCTGAGCCCCGGCAGGCAGAGCAGCCTGCTTGCCCGTCCGCCTTTGTGCGAGGGGCACGCTCGGGGGGGGCAGGGGAAGACTCCTGCTTTAATTTCATGCTTATCTGTCCCCTGTGGTGCTGGGGAGCCCAAGCTCCGTGGCCAGCTCGCTGTACTGGACAAACACCTCGGCAGGGTCCCTCACACCCGGGGAACGAAGCTCAATTTTCACCTTGTCATTGCTTTTCCCAGACGTCACAGCTCCTGTGCAATCGTGCCCTTGTGTAACTATGGGGAAACCTGCGCCGAGGAGACGTGCCACGCTCACGTGTGCCTGGCTGCAGAGCCACGTTCCCTCCGACCCAGGGGCCGAGTCGTGGGATGCCAATGGATGTCCCCAGCCACCAACCACACCACGAGCCTTACCCCAGACCCCCACTGCAGGGAATGGCAGCATTACCAGAGCCTGAGGGAGTGAGGCTGGGTGCAGGGAGGGTCCCCGTGGGACACACGTCCCAGGGAAGGGCCTCCTGGTTCTCTTTCCTTGAGCCACTTGTCCTCCAGCATCCTGGAGGAGCAGCAGCCAAGCCCCACCACTTCCCGCTTCAGTCCCAGCACCTCACGAGGCTGCTCTAATTCTTACATGCCACTTGAATGAAAAAGGGGAAAGGGTGGAGGTGCAGGAAGAGGAGGAAGATGTGCTCATTCTGTTTTCACTTCCTGTTCGTCCACATGAAATCTCAAATGATTCAGGCCACGAAGTCCCTTTTAGCAAAATCCTTGCTGACTTGAGGGCAGGAAGCAGAGTCGGCAGCTGATGCAGCAAATGTGGGAGAGAACAGTGCAGCACGAGAAGGAGAGACTTTGTGCTCTGCCCTGGGCTCCTCCATACGTGTTGTTGCATGAAATAATCACTGGCTGGTGCACTGGAAGCTTCTAAATGAGGTCAGTTGCTCTAATAAAAGATATTAGCTCTCCGGCAAGTTTAATACACTGGTGAGCCATACCATAACAGGATGGAAACACATGCCACACTGCTATAATGGCTGATTTACAGGTAGCAACAGCTAATTTTCTCCATACATAAGTCATATGTCACCTAGACACTACCCAGGGCCACAAACACACCCAGTTCCCACATCCCAGCCCAAGCCCTGAGCCAGCTCACCACGAGTTAAACACACACAGCAATGTCACGTACTGCTGCCAGCCGAGCTCCTTGCACAACGCTCATGAGCCTCCCTCAGCCTCAACGAGGGCAAAAACCAGAGATGTGCAAATGGGACTAGCATCATTTGGAGAACTAATGAAGCGATGCAGACAGCTGTCCTGCTCCACCTGAGCATGGCATTAGCTATCAAACCAAACCAGCTCTGTACCAGCCTAGGCTTCTTCTCTGAGCGTCCCAAAGAGCCCTTCACCTTCCAGTAGAGAAGAAAACCCTTCCATGCTCCTTCAGGAGGCAGCCAACTCCTGTAGCTCTCTCCCCTCAGACTCACAGTCACAGAATCACAGAATTATCTAGGCTGGAAGAGACCCTCGGGATCATCGAGTCCAGCCATCCACCCTACTCTAAAGTTCTCCCCTACACCATATCCCCCAACACCACATCTAAACGGTTCTTAAACACAGCCAGGGATGGTGACTAAACCACCTCCCTGGGCAGCCTATTCCAATGCCCAACCACTCTTTCTGTGAAGAATTGTTTCCTAATGTCCAGTCTAAACCTACCCTGGCGCAACTTGAACCCATTACCCCTTGTCCTATCATCTGTAACTTGGGAGAAGAGTCCTACCCCCAACAGACAGGTCCCTGCACGGCTCTGCCCATCCACCCCTCGCACACCTCCCCACATGAGCAGCTCCTGCTCCAAGCCCTGCCTGCTGACAAGTTGTCACATTTTGGAGTATTTGATTTCAGTCTCAGGAACACCTGGCTGGCAGCAGTACAGGCAGGGAGAACCTGCCTGCTCTTTGTTCTTGGCCAAGCGGAGCACAGAGCAGATGACACCTGCCTTGGTTTCCCCCTGAGATCAGGACTGGAGCTGTGAGATGAGGAGCTCCAGGTCCATCCTAGATCAGGAGCGGGGACAGAAAGGCTGAGCCCGGCCCCGCTCCCACCGGAGGCTCCTCATCTCCAGGGCTCATCTCCCCAAGCAGGATACCGATGCCAGAAGCTAGCTACTAATTGGATCTACTTAAATCAGAAGCTACGTCTGCAGACACAGCTGAAACGCAAGCTTGAGCAGGAAGGAGGATAATGCAATAAATTCAAGCAGCTCTCCCCAAGGGAATTGCACAGACCCCTGAAACTTCCCTCTTTGCAGATACAGCCTATTACCCTTCCACGGGCATGCTGTGTAAATAAATGCAGGGGCAGGCAGTGGTTGAGAGAGTAACCGGCCCAAAACCTGCTGAAACACCATCCTCACCCAGCTCCCTGCTCCCAGCAGCAGAGGGAAGGAGGACCAGTTCCAGCAGAACGTTCAAACAGTCCCCGTGGCCACGGGAGCCTCTCTGGTTAACGCTCCCAATCCCGCTCCTCCCTCCCTCGCTACCCCGGAGGCAGGCAGCAGCGCTGCTGAGTGCACTGGGTTTCCCATTAAAGAGATCCTGAGAGACAGCACTGGGCTGGTACACGTGAGCACGTGTCCGAGAGAAGACACGGGCGGCTGGAGAGATGCTGGCTGCACGGATGGAGCTGCAGCGGGCGTTCCCGCCTGCAGGCAGTCCTTCCCAGCACTGCTCAGCCCTCAGATTCTCTTTTTTTTTTTTTCTTTTTTTTTTTTTTTTTTTTTGCATGAAAACTACCTCCAGATATGGCATAATGGGACCTGGTTACCTTAAAATAGCCAACTGATTCCTCCTCCCAACTCCTTCAGAGAAGGGGTGTTATTATCTCCAGTAATAAATGGAGGGGCAGGAGGAGCAAGGTGCGATT